CATGTTTAAAGAAAAACAAAAATGTACAGATTTGTAAATCAGGGGTTGCTTCGATAGCCTAATGTGGAACCTTAGGTCCAAACGTGTCTAGGGTGCTACAACACTAACATTTTCCCTCGGATTTGGTTCGGTTTGTGATGGTAATCGACCTTGAAACTATAGGAACCCAACTGTTTGAGCAAATTGGCCTATTTTCTTGTCGATTTCTTAGAGATAGGTTTATGTTTGAGTATGGAATCTTTCTTGGGATAAGGCTAATTTTTTGACAAGAGATTCAAGGGAATATTTTTGTGGTGGTTGAGTATGAAAAAGAGGAGGTATTGTTGATAAGTTGGGTTAGTTGTTTGGTTGTTTCTGTAACTCATTATAGGATGATCCCTCTACCCTGGGTTATAAGTGTTGCTCTATGGGTTATAAGACCTTTGGGGAGGTCCAGGGAAATTGCCTATGACATTGACGTGAGCACTTGACTTATCTTGTAACAATAGACAGTGATCCGTTGGATGATCTGACATCGTACAAACCCCACAAACTTTTACGGCTCCAATCTTTACTGAAACAAGCAGATTAACAATGTTAGTTAATTTATCTAATTTACTATGAATTAAAATGACACATACTATGTGAACCGTCAGATGGTTCACTTAAGGAGTCGAATTGCATGTTGTGAATTGGCAGCCATGGTAGAGATTAACGTTCTTGCCGCATCTGGGGTCATGTTGATGAGAGAGTCGCCACTAGCGGTATCTACCATTTTTTTATCCATTGAAAGGATTCCTTCATAAAGATACTGAAGGAGTATTTGTTCAGATAAGCCATGCTACGAGCAACTAGTGCAATATTTTTAAACCTCTCCCAATAATCATAGAGGGCCTCTCTTTCACTTTGTTGAATTCCCAAAATGTTTCTTCTTAGTTCACTCGGTTTCATCGTTGGAAAAAACTGTCAAGGAAAACATGAGATAAATCAGTCCAGGTAGTAATGGAATTCGGCGGTAAATAAAATAACCATTCCTTAGCCGATCCGGCTAAGGAAAAAGGAAATGCTCTTAATTTTATCTAATCCTCAGAAATTCTGTAGGGCTTCATGCTACTGCAAACCATGTGAAATTCCACGAGGTGTTTATGCAGACTCTCACAAGGAAGGATGTGATAAGTTGGAAAGAGATGGATTAATCCCATCTTTAGTTGAACATGAGTCTCATTGTGAGGAAAAGCGATGCAAAGTGGTTGTTGCATGGAAACAGCTGCGACTAGTTCTCTAATCGTTTGATTTGCCATCAGTTCTAGTTCAGGCATGGGGTCTGCGACTAGTGTAGTCAAGTGGCGTCAGGTACTGATTCTTCATAGGAATGAGTACTAGATGGAGTTTCGGAAGTAGATTCCTGATCTGATTGTTGCTTGTTTTGTTCTCGCTGTTGCTTTTTTTCATCGAAGCGTTTGGCTGTGAGTTCTTCATGATTTTGCTTCAATCTCTGAGTCAAATTCCATTAAATTTCTTGGGTTACGCCTGGTCATGAAATAAAAAAATAGATCAATAATTCGCTGAAGTCCTCGACAACGACGTCAATTTTGACAAGCATCGTTTTACTTGTCAAAATAAAATAAATCCTCTTCAAAATAAAATGGAGAATAGTATAGTGAAAGAGGGTCGATCCACAGGGACTTAGTAATTTCTGCTGTAAATTTGTGTCGATTTTAGTCTAGGCAACTGCAAGAAAAATAAATAAAAGTAGGGTTTGGCGAAAATGAGATGAAGTAAAGAAATGTAGAAAGTGAAAACTAAAAGCAAGGCAAAATAAATTAAATGTAAATAAGATTGAGAAAATATCAATAAGAAACCCGCCTCGAGCTAACTTTGCTTCAATTCTGTCGATTATCCAAATGGATTTTTCCCACGAGATTAACGTCGGTTACAGTCTACAAGGCCCAACCCATTATAACTTGCCTTTTTCTTTAATAACCAATCTTCCCAAGTCACTCTTCGAAAGTTGATTCTTGAATGAACTAACTACATCTATTGTTATTAGAACAAACAATTTAAGTTCTAGAAAAGCCCGATTCGAATTATGTTGTCTCGTCGAGAATCGAACTCAAATATGCCTTAGCTGACCCTCGCTAAGAGTGTTCACAGGAGGTCGAATATGCCATAGGCTGATTCCTCCTCCCAAATATAAATTATAAAAACATCCAGACCAATGTCGACTTTTTCATTTGAAAGCATTTTAATTTTGAAAGTAAGGTCGATTGTCAAGCTAATAAAATAGAAAATCGAGAATATGACCCGAAGGGTATTAAGTGCTATATCAATTCTCATATATGAAATTGAATCATCGCTAACTCTTGACTAATAAGAAAATTATCTCAGCATGGTATAAACCATAATTAGCATATTTTTCTGAAAACGATAGAAAATGTAGAGTAAAAAGAAAGAGAAAATGAAAGAAAAAGAGAACTTTTATTAAAACGAAGATAAAGTAGGAAGCAAAGCTAAAGATGAAGATTAAAATGTCTAAGCCTTACCCAAAGGAGGGTATTTATAGGCTTCTAAATCCCTAAGATACATGGAAATTAAAACAAATTAAAAGATAATTCCATAAGTTTGAAAATTAAAATCCAAATTTCCTAGAAAGTCTCCTAAGATCGTGTTGACTCCAAAATATTCCTTGTATTGACCGAACCTTCTAGAATCTTCCACGCCATACCCGCGTTGTGCCCATATCTCCAGCTGTGATCAGAAAATAAAAAAAAAGTTACAGAATGCGTCGTTTTACTGCCAATTCCAATAATCAGATCACTGCACTGAAAATAGACAAATGCAACCCAAATCAACAGTGAAGAATTCATAAAAACAAGAGAATTAGCAAGTAAAATCGACAATTTAAAACGCTCATCATTGACCACCAATGATTATTAGTTATTTTATTTTTTTTATATTATATCCTTTGTTTTCCTTTTTTTTCTTGAGTTTTTTTTTTTGAAATTTTGAGTATGAATATATGTCCTTATGACACGCTTTTATATGCTCTTATGGCACGCGTTTTCTCTGTTCTTATGGTACGATCCTTATGGATTTTAGTATGTTTTTCACATACCTTTATGGTCATTTTAGTACTCGCACAAATATCATCACAATATTTGTTTTCTGATTAGTTTATCTATGGTAAAGTACTGTCAGATCCCCTTTTTGGTAAAAAGTTGTTTGCCAATATAATCAGAATTGTATAGCGAAACAGCATGCCATATAGTTTGATTCGCTCACCACTCATTTATCACTTCGTAAAGCGTATTGTTCGACAGAGACAATAAGTTTCTATTAAGGTTACCGGGGACTTTTGATGTTGGTTGTCATTTTCAATGGTATGTTTCGTTTTTCTTCGTATCTTTGTGTCAAATATTTTTTGTTTTTGTATGAGTTTTTTTAGCGATTATTGTCTCCATTTTTCTCTTTATGTTTGACTGCATTATAATTTTGATTCCTTTGTTTTTGATTGATAAAGTCCAATTGATATTGTTAAAAAATACCAAATAATAAATTAAACTATGGAATATCACAATCTCGGCTAAGATTTTACAAACACTTAAGGAGTTTTTAAAGAATTTGAAGTTTCTCATACTTGATAGGAGTATTCAACAATAGTTACCAAGGAAATTTAAGATGAGAGTAATCTTCTTTTCTCTCCATTTAAATTCATCTAGGCTAGACAATGAAGAAATTGAGTGTTTTCCCCTATTTTGCTAACTTCATTAATATTAAAGAATTTTCTGTTTTCCAAAATATCAAATTAATCATCAAAATATAAATTCCAACTTAGTATAAGCTTGACACCCAGCTTGAAGTTTCCATCACAATCCACCATCACTTTTTAAATAAACATGCAAAACTTTCACTTTTACTATATATATTTTTCAATATGGTCCATAAACTTTCAATTTGACTTATCTAATCCAATATAATTCAAAATAGAATTATCGTTTAATCCAATGAAATTAATCAAAATAAATACATTTTCCCATGGTTAAAAGTAAATAACTTAATCATTGAAATGATTTCCTAGTCACCTGTCTTTCTAGCTTTACCCAAGATACCAGTCCATGGCTATATTTGTTTATGAATAAAATCAGTTGTAAGAAAATATGAGTGTCTTCCGAAGACTTATTGTATTTTGATTAAGTAGAGAATTGTTTAAACTATTCCACTTCAGCTTTCTTCCATTTCATTTTTTAGCATAGCTTTGGATACGGGTGGTCCATTTACCTTGGAAACCATCAATATACGATTTTCCCCTCCACTTCAAGGCTTCATCCTAATTAATTTAAACCGATTGAATCACATAATTAGTTTTTGTAGGTAAGTTTTCAACGGAAATTTTCTAAATACACAAAGACTCAAACCTAAGACCATACTTAAGACATATCAAGTTACTTATCACTTCAATCAATCCGTTGGTAGGAACTATCAGTACGTTAACAGATATTATAAACAATTTAAGATTTTCTAAGTTAGATTTTAAAACAAATTTGGACTTTAATTGTTATGAAAAATAAAATCATTTACCCACTCTAAATATTCAATCTTTTCATAAAAAAAAAAACAAATAGATTAAAGAAATTTTGAACCCTTTTTTTATTAAAAAAAGGAAATAGCTGAAACTTACACACTTGAACGGCTTTTCTTATCACGATGCCTTAAACAAATCCAAATTGATCAAAAACTATACTGCGTTATATCTTAAGATATTTTTTATTGTAAAATTCATTTATACAATATTATTTCCAATTTATCTCAATAAAGTCATTATCGAGTTCGAAAATTCATTCAGTACCTTACAAATCCCAAAATTATAAAATTTCATTAAAAAATCAATAAAAAGCAGTTAAGATATAAGGAACATTGGCATTTAATCAAAGATAATTTTCGTTTAATTAGTCATGTATTACTTTACTACAAATAATACATGAAAATGTCCAAAACCTTGTTTTCCAGGAACATTACATAACTTATTTATTGGCCTTTCCGCTTGAATGGAGGCCGGCGAAGTAACCCTGTGGGTTGCTCTCAAAAGATCCCCTGGATATAACACTTGCACCTTTACTACCAGGAGCCACCATCATTCCGGAACCCCAACCGCCTCCTTTGCACGTGCCTCCTCCTACGCCACCGCTGCCATATCCTTTACAGCCGCCGCCTCCGTCATTACCTTTGCCACCTCCGTCACTTCCACCTTTGCCACCCATTTCTAACAGCGATTGCTTTATTAGACGACTTGGCTATCAAAATGAATTTCCAAGACTGCAATGTGTTAAGAAGCTTAAAACGTTTCAATATTTATACTATGAATATGGTGGCTAGTCGAATGGTCAACCTCATATTTGAATTAATTAAGTTTAAAATTAATGGATTGATTTTTCATTTATTATTCTTATTTATTTTAAACTAAGCATGCAGTTTGCATAGAGTAATGGAGCGTCATTCAATGATTTTGACCAACTTTGGAACTACAATTTGTTATGTTTCATGCATTTTCTTCTTTATGTCAGCCTCTATGAAAAATAAATATTTTTAATACATTTTTATGTATTTGATGACTCACTTTTCATTGAATTTCAACAATTATTTTAATTTTGAAATATGTTTTATAATAAACGAATTAATCATTATTAATTTTAATATTTCAAATATTGATCGATTAAACAGTGTTAACATCTTAATTGATATATTATTATGCAAATTACATGAAGTAGATAAATTAGTGCTCAAGTTTATCACGTTAGCAACTTTCAGACACCATTTTCGATGAATTCTACTGAATTTTTCAGTGGTTTTGAAGATCACGAATGAAGAAAATTTTTGTTGAAATATGTTTTGTTCTATCATCTTTTATATATCATTCTTTAACTTGTACGATATATAATTTATTATTTTCATATAAGAATGCATGAGCTTTTTTTTAGAGCATAAAACATAACTTTCTCGTACGTGATATATTGTAGACATTTTTTTTGGACAAACATATATTGTAGACTTTAACCACACTAATTCTATACTAATCTAATGGGTAGTCAAAATTCCAATATGATTAGAGGAAGTGGAAAAAATATCATTTATTTCATATAGCGCTAAGAAATTACATTACCACCATATCTAAAAGTACAATTTATTTGTGATAAAGTATTATGAGGATTTATAATACCTTGCATCTACGATGACTAAAAATTTAGTATATGTGAAATTACTACAATACCCCTATGGTTGCTTAGATGGGGTGTAAAGGTCTATGTTTGTTGTAACCATAATAATTGGTTTGGTGATAGGTGTTTTTCTCGAAAAATCACCGGTGATCGGTATATTTACCGATCTAACACCGGTCAGATTGTATTTCCCGATCTAATACCCGTAGCAGTAAAGCGCGCCCCTTGTACTGCGCTATACGCTGACATGGGTTACATGTGTGTATAGCGCCCCCTGATCCGCGCTATATGCCACGTAGGGGTATAGCGTGGATCAGGGGCCGCGCTATACGCCACGTAGGGGTATAGCGCGACCGCGCTATACCGAAATTATATTTAACGCGGTCTCTGGTCCGTGCTATATCTTTTATCTGAATAATTACATATAGCACGGTGCAGGTATCGCGCCTTATATGATTATAAATACCCTCCTCCGCCGGTTAAGTTTCTCACATCTCCTCGCATCTCTCCTCTCAACTTATAAATTAATACAACAATTCCGTCAACAAATATTAATTCTGGCAATCTTCTCATATTTGATTTAGAAGTTCGTGCGATTTTTCGTTATAAGGTAATTTTGTTATAATTTTTTAATTATACTTATTGTTTATTTTCATTAGAAAAAATATTATACTAATTATTTTCAATTAATTTTTATGTTTGTAAAATTGAAAAGCGGGAGCATACATCAAAATAGTTTTGCGGTGCAGGTAATAATATAAAATTATATTATTTAAATTATTTACGTTGATGTGTAAAAAATTTATTTTGTTATATTTTCGTTCATATATAATTTATTTAATCAGGTTTGTTTCAGTTATTTTTTTTGTAGATATAATATTGCCGCACTTTTAAACTCAAAGAATGGCGCGACTTTCAGCTATTGTTTATTATGATGGTGAAATTCGAGAATGAAACCGGCGTTGTTTTCGTATCAAATGAGCGTGTTAAATATCATTCAAGAGAAACATAACTCTTGAGGAGCTGATAACGAAGATTTCGAGGAAGATTCATGTTGGAAGTAGTAGAAGAATGTCGTCGTTGCAGTACAGATTTCCAACATCATTGTTGCCATTAACTTATACAGCGTTCGAACTTTCGAACAATGATGATGTTCAAATGATGGTTGACGCTCAAAGTAATTATTCAAACGCCGCTATTGAAATGTATGTACATTTTGTTTAAGTGCGTGCTGTTCGGGGTCAATCATTAAGCTCCCACTATGGGCTGGCTGAACAAGTTGATCAAGTTGACAGCCCGACTCAGTAATGTGTAATGATTTTAATGCCATAATGGGGAGACATTCATCCGTAACTCCTTACGATATGTACCGAGGTGGGTCCACGAACAATCCGTATGGCAACACTGCGTCCAGTTCAAGGGGAAGACATTCATATGCAAATTTCTTTGACCTTAATATGGAGATGTCATCGACGCAACAATCTGTGCAGTTTCCATTTGACACGGTGGCTTCAAGCTCCAGGGGGAGGCATTCGACTGTGAGCTTTTTCGATCTCAATGTCGATATGCCTTCTAGTTCAAGGGGAAGACATGCAAGTAGTAGGTTCTTCGACCTAAATATGGAGCACATGGAGGAACCATCATCTCCACCAGAAGAACCGCTTCGTGAGCCTGGTGCGGATGGTGCTGAGACTGGACTATTTATTCACCCAGAATCACCACAATTCAACTCCGATGATGATGATGTAGATGAAGTTCCAGGAAATGTGACACAAACTGATCCTTCTGCACACATGTATGAAGCTGATTATGGTGCAATGTATGGGCTAGAATTTGCGAATATGCCTCATCTTGGTGACTATGGATATTACTCATCAATAAATAATGGTGAGTTATCTTTAGGCATGGAGTTTTCAAGCAAAGAAGAAGGGATGATGGCTATCAAAAATTACAATATCTGTATTTTTATTCAGTCTAGAGTCAACCGATCGACGACCAAAAAATATGTATACTACTGTGCCGGACGCAAAAGCAGATGCAATTGGATGGTTCGCGTATCGAAAATGAAGAGGAAAAACAACATATGGGAACTAACAGTATACAACGGTCCTCACACATGTTGTGCTGAAGGGGTCAACCAAGATCATCCCAACTTGGACTCTGAAATGATATGCCAAGCCATCATGCCCATGGTAAAAGCAAGCTCTCATATAGTTGTTGCAGTGTTGATTTCAGCTATACAATCGCAGTATGAGTGCACTGTCTCCTATAAAAAAGCTTGGTTGGCAAAACAAAATGCCATTGTCAAACTTCATGGCAAATGGGATGCATCTTACAATGAACTTCCAGGTTGGTTTAGGCTGGTGTGGACGTTGAATCTTGGGACAATTGTGGACTTCGAAACCTCCTATGCATACCATAATGATCGAGTTCTTCGCGATCAAAGCCAATTCTACCGGGTTTTTTGGAGTTACCCACAGTGCGTTAATGCTGCCAAATACTGCGTGGTCCAGATCGACGGGACTTTCTTGTATGGAAAATACAAGCAAGTTTTATTATTGGCAGTTGTCCAAGATGGCAATCGCAACATTCTTCCAGTTGCTTTTGCTCTTGTCGAATGAGAAGATATAGATTCTTGGGTTTTTTCCTCTGAAATTTAGGTGCACATGTTATCACGAGGGAAAACATCTGTGTCATTTCAGATCGCGGAGCTGGGATCAAAGCAGCAATGGAGTCTTTGGGTCCAATGTGGAAACCACCCTTTGTCCAACATAGGTATTGTCTCCGACACATTGCTGCGAACTATTATGGAAGGTACAAGAAGAATGATGAGTGTCAATTAATTGTACGCATGGGTAAGTGAAAGCAAGTTAGTAAGTTATACATTTTTTGATCATTTTAATTTTGCAAAGAAAGCAAGTTAGTAAGTTATACATTTTTTTATCAGGTTACGAACTACTTCCTCGAACCTTTGAATCAATGCTTCAAGATTTGCGGGCGAAGACCGAGGAAGGATACGATTACATCAGCCTCATCGATAAAGAAATGTGGATGAACTCATATGATGGTGGATATCGATATGGACACATGACGACCAACTTGGTTGAGGCAATCAATTCAACCTTAAAGGGTGCACGTTGCTTACCTGTAGCGGCTTTGGTAAAAACTACATATTTTTGTTTGGGGGCGCTTTTTGCGAAGCTCGGGGGACAAGCTCAAACCTGGATGCAAGGCGGTCATGTCTATCACCCTAGATTAGTTGCAGATCTACAGAAAAAAATTGATGCATCAAATGGAATGTCTGTAACAAGCTTCTCTAGAAGGCATGAAATGTTTCGTGTCACAGAGTTGCCGCGACCTCTTCAAGGGATTGAAGCTGTGTCGTTAATAGTAAATCTAAGGGATAGAACATGCGACTGCGGGTTTTTTCAAGCTCTGAAGTATCCATGCTCTCATGTGATAGCAGCTTGCTTGCATACACGTCAACACTATAACCATTTTGTGGATCTCGTATACCTACTATCTGAAGTTTTTAAGGTATATGAATTTGAGTTTCCCCCATAGGTAATGACAAAGACCCTGATGAGGTTCAAGATTGGCTTTCGATTGTACCAAATCTGAGTTTATTGAGGGAGCGTGGTCGTCCAAAATCCAATCGAATTCATTGCGATATGGATATTCAAGAAAGATCTAGACAAGACAGAAGATGTGGGCATTGTAGAAACCTAGGACACACGAGAAAAACATGTCCACTTCTGTTGTCATCAAGTAACAATTGATGAGGAAATGATGTATTTGTTTATCAAATAATAATTCTTGTACTTTAATTTGCATTTACTTCAAGTTAATGATAACCAAATTTGTATTTGAATATAATTTTAAATACAATAAACTTACAATTAGTATTAAATGGTAAATGATAACCAAATTACAATAACTGATATTAAATGGTAATAAACAAAATTAACTGAAATAAATTAAAAAAAGTACAACAAATTTAACAAAATAAAGTAAGTATTAAATGAGAAATAATAAAAAATTACAAT